AAATTGAATAAAGATCTTCAAAATTTTTCTTAAAAAAAATAAAAATAAAAACCCAAAATAAATAGTTAGAATTAAAAGCATAAATTACATTTATGCATCTGGCCATGTTGTTTAAAAAAAAAAAAAACAACAACATGAGCCAGGTGTGGTGGCACACATCTGTGATTCTAGCACTCGGCGGGGGGCTAAGGCGGAGGACCGCCATGAATTTGAGGCCAGCCTGGGCTGCACAGTGAGCTGAAGATCAGCCTGAACTGCGCAGTGAGGCCTCGCACAGCCCAAGAAGAGCGAGAAAAGGCGGGACTGCGAGGGCTCCCAGTGGTGGACCATGTGCTGCTCCCGCACGAGACCCAGCACGCGCCCGTGCGCGCACACGCACACACCTGAAGTGCAGAAGTACACCCGAAGGGCAGCCATATAGATATATATATATATCACGTTCTCAGATCTTTTTAAAAGATTTACCTGAATAGTGTACTGGTTATACTCTTTCAGATAGCTTTGTTCAGAAATTGCATTGTCATTTGGAGGAGCAGAACCAGCATGTGGGCATGTTGGGGTGTGTCTTTATTGTGGGGGAATTCGTTCTGCCTCTGTGCACTTTGCCCTGCTCTCAGTGCCAGATGTCCCTTTGGTTTGTCCCTGAATGCTTTGGAGATTTCTGGTGCTGCCTCCTGGGCACCAGGCGCCCAAGTCAGTGGGTACTTGCCTGTGCCCCCGCCCCTTGCAGCCTCTGCCTGCCTCTGCTGGGCCACGGCGGCTGCTCTGGGATCAGACTCTCAGCTATCTTGTCTGTCTTTGGCTTCAGCTCTCCTAAGTAGACATTTGTGAGGAAGTGGGATGTGGAGAAGTGTTGAGCAGGCTGGCAGTCGGCGGCTGTTATACGAGAATTATTGTTTACCCAAATACCTTGGAAAACACACCTAGCCTTCTCTTTCTCTGTGCTGAGCAGAGTGTAGAAAAATTGAAATACCTGGTAAAGCCAGTATTCGTAAGGCTTGATTGTTGCCTGTGTGGACCGTCAGCGGGCTGCTGTCAGTACGCAACAGCGTAGATAACATCCGTTCCTTTAGAACCGAGGCTCTTGCTGGAAGCGTCTCCTGGGCATCAGAAACAAGGGCTCTTGCCCTTTGGTTACCTGATGCTGCTCTGAGAAAACGCGTCACGATGGCCATGGGGGTGCGGCCCCATTTCCTGCCCCTTTCCCAGGCCCAGAGAGGGGAAAATGCCATTGCTAGACAGGACGCTTTGGAGCTGCCCGGGCCAGACCCAGACTCAAGACCCTTGGAGGCCTGGTTCTGTGGCTGGTGTCACCAGGTGCCTCGCCCTTTCCTAATCCGCCACTGAACCCGGCCTGCTCTGCATAGCAAGATGCAGAGGGGAGGCTGGAGCCCTCGAGATTACACACAGGATGCTTTCAGGGCTTTCCGACAGTCGGGACACTACTTCTGTCCTAGTTCTAGAACTTCAGACACGGGATGCAGAAATAGCAAACATTGGCTATTGGAATTTATCCAAGACTGGAGTGCTGCCCTCCGTGGCGCTGGGCTTGCAGGCTTAAGACCCGTTTACTCTATCCTTCCTACTGAGGGAGGTTCCAGGATGCCCGAAGGGCAAGAGGAGGACTCCGAGAAAAGGCAGGGCCTGGGGTGGGGCAGATGCCAGGCATACCCATTTCAGGTTGGCTCGTGTTCAGTTCTAAGAGCATCTGAAGTATACAGAACCTGCCCGTAGGACTCAACCAAGAGATCACATTCGGCTGTAAGCCAAGGCGGTTCTGCTTGTAAGGAGAAGGAAGAAGCACTGTGGAAAGGCACAGGAGTGGGCGCCTTAATGGGCTTCCGTACAGCTTGGGCGTGAGAGAGTTGAGATGCAGATCCACGTGCTCTGCCTGGACTCCACTGCACGGTGGCCGTGCCAGAGCGGCCAGCAGAAAGCCCTGGCAGACATGGGTGCTCTTCGCCTTGGAGTAGCCGAGATTGCTTTCACACCAGACGTCTGAGGAGGATGAAGGTACAAGAGGAGATGTACTTCTCTGTAGTGCTCTTCATGCATGGAGTATCCTACCATCCTCTTACGAAGGATTCAGAAAAAGACAAGGGCAGGGGCACCTGGAGCTCTGTGTGAGTCAGGTGTCTGTCCTGGTCCCAAAGCACCCACCAAGAAGTTTGGGCCTTGGGCCACCCATCATCTCGTTATCTGTTTCCTCACTGAAAATGCTAGCTTGCACCAGATCGCGAGGTCATGCTTGGACATTCACGTGAGAATGGTCAGCGCTATGAGAGCTGCCAGCCCTGCACACTGTGGTGGCGCTTATGAGAGCGAGCCCCGTGAGACAGCGGAGTCCCGGGACGCAGTCTGTCCCGCTGCCTTTCTCTCCCCCGCTGCCTGGTGTGGGTGGCCACTTGGCTTCTCCCCTCCCATCCCCGACAGTGACCAGCCCCTAGGGAGGGGCGACCCTGTCACTGACGTCTTGAAATACTGGATGAAGGTGGTAAGGGCCAACAGCTGGTGTCTGTCTGTGTAGTGTGTTTCGTGGGCTGCGTCCCCTGAGCTTGGCTAATGTCACACTGCACTCGTGCTGTGTGATGCTGGGTAGAGGAGCAGCCCTCACATCCACAGCAGGCCCAGTGGCCCGCCGAAGTCCTCCACTGCCCTTAGTGTGTCGCCCTTAGTGAAGAGAGCTTCTGGCCAGGCACATTCCAGCTGTGCACACGCCCTGGCCTGATGAGGTTTGCTCCATTCCAGGGGAGGAGAAAGCACCTGTGTTCTGCTGTGCGTGCGCTGCTCGTGTCTTGGTAGCTTGGAGAAGCCCGTCATAGGTGGTGCTTGCTTGGGGACTCTCAAGGCAGTGTAGGTGGCAAACTGCTAGTCATGGGCCGTTCGCGGGGCAGGGATTGCTTCTGGGCCCTGACCAGCTCAGCACAGGGAGGTCCTGCCTGCAGACTTGCTTTCTGCTGAACCCAGATGGTCGGGAAAGCTGTGTGTCGGAGGAGGGAGGAGGCTCCTGGGGGTAGGGTGTGACTCCCCAAGCCCTGCAGGGTTTGTTGTGACACCGACTGGAGGTGCTGGTGTGAGCCAGTGCAGATGCCAAGGCCTCTGCAGGGCACCAAGGCCTCCACAGGGGGAGCAAGGTGGGCTTCCTGTGCACCTGGCGGGCCCTCAGCCTGGCCTTGGCTTCCTTCCCTGCCTTCCACAGCTGGCATTTTAAATGGCCACCTTTTCCTCCTCCTCAGCCTGGGCAGTGAGGAAAGGCAGAGGGAACTGAGGGCTAATGGGCGTTAAACATCCAGGGCAGCCACCTAGACTCCTCGCAAACCATGGAGCCATGTCAGGTTGCCGAGTCCCTTCTGCTGAGCTCACGAGAGCCCCTCAAGCTGTGCCTGGCTTTGTGTCAAGATGCCCACAGAGTTGCAAGGGAGGGTTTGTCCCCTCTTCTCCAGAGCAGTGTGATATTCGTGCCCGCACCCACCCCCTCCAAGGTGGACGCTCCCGCCTGCCATCTTCTGCCCTCTGCCCTACTCACGCCTGGCACACACCAGCCATTCTGTAACAAGCTGATAAGAAGCAGAACCAACCCGGACATCTCGGACCACAAATGAAATGGCAGCTGGAAAAAAGTGATGGTGGCAGATCCTACATGAAAAAGTTTGGTTTTCTGAAACAGGGTCTGGCCACATAGTCAGACTGGCCTCAGTCTTGTGCTGAACCACCTCCTGCCTCAACCCCTCAAGAGTTGGAATTTCAGGCGTGGGCCACCACACCAGGCAGAAATATTTTTAAGATAGTAAGACTTCAAAAGGTAAATCATGTTAGTATGTTTTTAATTGTACAGATTTATATTTTGTAAATACTGTGGCTGGGGATATATAGCTCAGTGGGTTAAGTGCCTGCCTGGTGCGCACAGGTCCTGAGTTCAATCTCGAGTACCAAAAAACCCCTTACTGTGTTAGCCCTTGGAAACATCAGCAAGTGCCATTTCCCTGTCTTCCCCTCAGGCACTAGGACAGCCTGGTGGTGCCCTCCTGGGTGAAGGAGGCCTCGGGCAGTGCCCAGGGGCACCTTCTCTGCAGGGCTCCTCCAGGTCTACTTTCCTCTTGGGCTTTGTCTTGGCTCTTAAAACTTCTGCATGGGCTGCATGTGGCCCACTGATGGGGCTGTGGGGACGAAGAGGGCGCAGGGCCGAGAAGCACATGCCCTCTGCCTGGCAGGCCCCCGGCAGCTCCGTAGGTGCTGACACAGAACCAGTCGTTAGAGATGCAGTGTTTGGAGAGCACTTGGTTCCCACTCCCAGGGACATGACAGAGGCCGCCTCAGCCCAGGCCTCCACACACATTCTCAGTCACAGCCCTTTGTCACACAGCCTGTGTCCCACCCTGTCTGAGAGCGCCCCATACTCTGTGCTGCTCTTGGGCCACAGAAACCCTGTTAACGCTGTCTGATGTTTTATGCATAGAAGCTGACTTGGCAGGAGGAGCACAGCAAGTGAGGAGGGAGAGTGAGCACCCAGCCGGGGTCGGTGTGAGCTCTGCAGTGACTCCAGAGGGGCGTCCCTGGGCTAGGCTGGTGCAGGGGGGCAGTGTCTCCCTTGGGGAGCCTGAGCCTGCGTTCAAGTCTGGGCACAGCGGCGTCTCTGGACTCTGTGCTGGTCCCATCTGCCCCACACCACCACCGTGAGCACCCCTCCTTCTGATGCCCTGTGTTGTGAAGCACTGGCCCAAGGTCCTAGTTTCCTACTGGGATTACTTTGAGAACTTGTGTAAGCAGCCCCTCAAGGGCTCTGGTAATGTGGGTGACGCTCCCAAGGCGGTCCTGCTGCACAGCCAGGCTGGAGCTGTGTTCTTCCTGAGGTCCTTAAGCTGATAGTTGGACTCCCGCTGAGCTCCTGGGCCGGGCTGGGACGCTGCCAGCTTGGTGGCATCGCGGCACCCTTGCTGGTGGGAACCACACTCTGAAAGCCGCAGCACTGCATTCCAAAGGACAGCTGTGACCACAGTTTATAGACAGAAGAGCGTTGCACTGGCGTGGAGGCGGGGGAGGGGACGTGAGGATGCAGGGTAGTCGCATCAACTCCGTCAGCAGTGCCTTCGCCGCCGCGGAGCACCGAGTGCTGTAGTGGGACTCCCCACCGCGTGCCCAGAAGGGAGTGGACCCTCTGCTTACTGGGAGCTGTGACGCCGCATGCCCCAGTTCTGGGCACCTCTTCTTCTGCAGCCTGCTCCATCACAGCTGCTTCTGAGGCCCGGGCGCCCTCTCCCGCTCTGCTGGAGTGCAGTTCACAGCTCCAGCAGTGACGCAGAGACCAAGTGAGGAAGGTGATGTTGGCCACGTCACCCAAGGCCTGAAGCACTGGCCCTCGGAGTGCGGTCCCCGACGGGCAGCTTCCGCACCTGAGAGCGTGTGAGACCCATTGCCAGGCCTGTGGTGGGAAGAGGGTCCCCGGGCAGTGCACTTCCAGCTTGTCCTGCAGGTGACACTTGAGTTTGAGGAGCCCTGGTTTAGGGAAGTGGCGGGAGCTTCGGGGGCCTCTGGGTCCCAGGCTTGGGAGCAGGGAGCAACCCCCGAAGATCCATCAGAGATGGCGGGTAAAGGAGGCCGGGGCTGTGGGGCCTCACTCCGCAGCAGGACAGCCTAGGCAAGGCAAGCCCGAGCGTGGAACGGTTGTGCTCTTCACATTTCTTAGGGTTATGTGTTGCTTAACCACACCTCAGTGCATCCCAAAGCAAAATTTCAGGCTCCAAAACTCAGGAAGTTGAGTTGCTTAGGGCCCTGTGGGTTCCGGTGCTGTGGGTGACGCTTCTCTTCCCCTTCTAGCTGGTGACAGGAGTGTGGGAAGGCAGGTACGACTTCTTCTGCCAAGGCACACGCAGCGCCGGAGGATCAGACACGAAGGTACTGTCTCAGAGTGTTTGTTAGATAAGCCTTGCTTTTGAGTCGAGGAATTTACACAAAAGATAAAACGGACCATCACCTCTCAAGGGTGGAGTGGTGGTGCAGAGACAACCCAGCTTCCACGCTGAGCTTCCACACATGGGCTCCTGTCTCCACCCAGCCCCTGCAGGACACAGTACGGGCAGGGCCTAGCCCCCACCGAGTCTTTGTCCTTTCTCTCTGTCTCTTTGGTCACCTGCTCCACCCCAGCTCCTGAAACAAGAGCTGCTTTCCTGTAGTTTCTCTCACTAACAGGGTGGCAGGTGACGAGGTTGTGAGCTGGAGCGTCTAGCTCCTGGTTTGAAGAGGGTCCCTGTTGCCAGTTCTGTCCCCCATGGTGCCCAGCGTGTTCTTTGGCTAAGGCCCCTCACGGAGAGACCAGAGGCTGCAACACCTCGACGGGCTTCCCTGGGTTGCCTCTGGATTCTGGCATGTCAGTGGAACGCATCAGGAGTAACGTCAGAAATAACCACTGAGGATAAACCAAGTCTCCTGACCCTCCTGTAGATTATCCGTGTCCTCTGGTGGTACTACTTCTCCAAACTCATAGAATTCATGGACACCTTCTTCTTCATCCTGCGCAAGAACAACTACCAGATCACAGTCCTGCACGTCTACCACCACGCCTCCATGTTCAACATTTGGTGGTTTGTGATGAACTGGGTGCCCTGCGGCCACTGTAAGTGCTGGCGAGGGGGCGCTGTGGGGACGGTGCGCACAGCGGGCTGCGTGCACGCGCTCAGAACGCTGCCGTTAGTGCACGTTTCTGGGTCACACTTTCCAGCTGTGTCTTAGTTACTTCTCTCTTACTGCTGGGACAAAATCCTGACACTCAAAGGACAGAAGGCTTATTTAGCTCACGGTTTGTGGAGGTTTCTGTCATAATCGGCTCGCTCCAAGGCAGGGTGGCACAGGGAAGAGGAGCAACAGTTCTTGACTGTTGAAGACAATAAAAGCAGCAAGAGCAGAAGGGGGGAACAAGCCTCTTCCTGCCACTTTTATCCTTATCCAGACTGCAGGGATTAGGGCGGTGCCAGTGCAGTCAGTGGACGGATCTAGTGGTCACCCACCCATAGTCCCAGCGTGGCGCTAGAAATCAGCCGCAAACCAGATTCAGCTGCTTCCACAGATGTTCTGTGGAAGTCGGTGAGGCCCGGGGGCATCCAGGCAAGCCGCAGCAAGCTTCGTGTCTGCGTGGCTTCGTGCTAGATCGCGGGGCCTGTGTGCACCAGATGCTTGCGTGAGTGAGTGTCCTGTGCTGGTGGGACAGGCGAGGCAGGGGCCAGCCTGAGCCACATCCAGGAGGGTGACACACATCCAGGCCGTGTATCGTAGAGGCGGCTGTGCCTTGGCCTTTCGGCGTGGAAGACGCTTGCCTGCTGGGCAGACCGGAAAGGTGCGGCCACACCATGCACTGAGCACCAGGAGCTCAGCTGATGGTGTGCCACCACGCTGGGTACACGGTGCGTCAGGAGGTCTCCGCAGAGCGTGCGAGTGGTGCTTCGCAGGGTCTTCTATGACATGCACTGAGGTTTGATGTCGCTTCTTTTAAGGTTGGAAAGCTTGTAGTGAAGTTAGGTTGTCACTTGGGAATTTTATCAAGTGGCTCAGTTATATTTTTTGAAGAATTTGAAAATCTTTGGTCTATTTGTAGGTGTTTCTTGCCTTAACATGGCACTGCCCTTGATTAAGTCAGCGCACCAGATTCGCAGAACCGCAAGGTTTAGAACTAGGACTTCCCAAGTACAGCCCCTTCAGCCCTAGAAACCAAGGTCCTCGCTGCTCGGTTGAGCTCCTTTCCTGTCTGGCGGTCCCCCATGCTGCCTTGTCACTGTGGCCTAACCAGCCAATTCTGGTGGACTCCCCCTCCTTCCACTTGAAGGGTACCTCAGTGATGGCCAGAAGTGGGCCTGAGAACGAGCATAACCGGTATGGGGCCGGGGACAGTTTCTGTCCCAGCCAGGAGCAGCAGCGCGATTGCTGTGAGCGTTGTGCCCCTCTAGCTGAAGGCAGGAAAGGCAGTGGCTTTGCCTCGCTGTCCAGTGTCAAGAGCCAGTGGCCCCCTCTCTGTCACCCTAAGGAGCCGAGTTGCACTCTATTTTGAGTAAAAACCAAGACTCCAGGTCTGCATTCTGGGAAGTTATTGGAAGGTGGTTCCTGCACCTCTGCAGGCCAGGGCTTGTGCTGAAAGGGCCCACTTGGAGCCTCCAGACCTTAGCGACGCCCCCCCCCCCCCCCCCCCCCCCGTCTCCACTGACTCCCCAGGCCCCCAGGAAATGCGCTTCTTTTCCGGGGGCCGGGACCAGTCCCAGCCCAGGCGCAGCGTGGGCCGGACCCTCTCCCACCCCCTCCCGCCCCCCCCCCCCCCCCCCCCGGCCCGCAGAGTAACACGTCTCAGACGGCGTCAGGAAGGAACAGCTGCCTGCAGGGCTGCGGGGCCTGAGAGCTGAGCCTGCGGGTGCCAGCCAGGTGGGGCATGTGAAGTGGAGGCTCCTCTGCTAGAGGCCGCCCCAGGGGCTGTGTGCCCACGTGGAGGCAGAGTCCGTTGCATGTCCAGGGGTTCCCAGGCAGCAGTGCCGCCCAGCTCCGTCCCGAAGTGTCCTCGTGCAGAAGGCACCTTGGGCGACGCTTTACCTGTTGTGTGTAAGATGCTAACGCAGCTGCTCCCAACCACCTCTGTTCCTGCAGCTTATTTCGGCGCCACGCTTAACAGCTTCATCCACGTGCTCATGTACTCCTACTATGGCCTGTCGTCCATCCCCTCCATGCGCCCGTACCTCTGGTGGAAGAAGTACATCACACAGGGGCAGCTGGTGAGTGCCGGCCCCTTTGCCGGCTCCCTGTTCCGGACACACCTCTCCGTGGCTTGCTGGGGTCCGACGTGTCCCTGCTCCACCTCTTCTCATGGGATCCAGTTTAACTCCTGGAAGTAGCAGGTCAGGGAGTGCTGATACTGTGCTGGTGAAGAGACTGCCCATGACACATGGCTGGTTTAATTGTGGGAGGAGGAATTCCTTTCTCTGTTCAGTGCCGCACAGGCCTGTACACACACGTGTGCGCAGGTGTGCAAGCCCAGGCTGTGTGGAGCTTGTTGGGCGGTGAGACTTGCTAAGAGGTGCACCATGGCAAAGAGGCAGCTGGTGGTGAGCCCCACTCCCGCCTCCAGGAAGGGCCGGCGCGGGCGGCACTTTCACACCAGGCGCCCTGCTGTCTCCCTCCTCCCTCCTCCCCTTCTTTGCGGTGTCAGGGATGGAGTGCACAGTCTTCATGTGAAGCTACATCCCTAGCAGTTTCCTGGGCTGAGCTGGGACAGTGATCCTCCTGCCTCAGCCTTCCAGATGCTCAGGTTGAGGGGTGTGCTGCCATCCCCTCTCAGACGCTGTTTGTGAACCTTCCCACGTCACCAGTAGCCTGCCCAGATCCCTAGTGCCTGTTAACACGGCTCCTGCTCGCGGCCCTGACGTGCAGTGAACACTTTCTTGTGCTGCGCTTCTGCCCTGGCTGCCATGGGAGTTGACCCCTGCTGTGTGGTGAGGACCTGCGTTACGAGCCCCCAGTGGCCGGCTGAGAGGCGTAGACCTCATGCCCTCGGCCACGCCCTCGGCACCCGCTTGGCCTTCTTGCCACAGTTTTCCAAATAAGCTGCTTCAAATCCTACAAGTCAGTATTACAAATTATTCACAAGTAATGAGAGAAAATCTCCAGGGCTCCTGTGTGCTTGTCCTGTCGCCAGCCTCTGCCGGCTGCTCCGCGGCCCTGGCTCAGGCGGCTCCCTGCAGTCGCTGTGTGCGCCCCGGGGGTGCAGTGGGAGGTTGAGTCCCACGCACAGCTCCGGCCACAGCCATGCAGACGAGAGAGGCAGGGCAGCCTGGACGGTCTCCGTGCGGCTCTGCGCTAGGGAGCGAGGCCTGCCCGTTCTGTGTGGGCCTCTTCTAGACACCAAGCCGAAGAGGGGGTGACAGGCAGGAGGAAGACACTGTTGACCAGGAACTGTGGGGAATGGCACGCGTCCGCCAGCGGCCAGATGCGGTGCATGCTTCCTCCCGCGTCCAAGCCTCCCTGCAGCTCTGCCCGCTCCCAGGGCGCTCTCCTCAGGAAGTGCCTACGGACAAAGGCTGTTGTTAGCCAAGAGGAGCTGCTGTCTGTTCATCACCATCAGCAAGGCGGAGGGTTTGGGACAGGGACAGAAGGCCCCGTGGGCATGTGGCCTCCTCACACATACCCTGCACCCTCCCTGTCTTTTGAGATGTTTAGAGCCCTTGAGCTTTGGGGAGGTGGTTGAAACTACTTGGAGGGGTGCAGGGACCCACAGGAGGTATGGCCTAGGGTCAGCAGAGCAGGGCCCCGCAGCTACAGGGGGAGTGTGGCGTCCCCGGCTGACCGCCTTCGTGGCCCTCCCTCAGGTGCAGTTCGTGCTGACCATCATCCAGACCACCTGCGGGGTCGTGTGGCCGTGCTCCTTCCCACTGGGGTGGCTGTACTTCCAGATTGGGTACATGGTCTCCCTCATCATCCTCTTCACCAACTTCTACCATGAGGTGAGTCCTGTCGTGAGATTCAGTGCTCGGCTCGCTAGTAGAGCCCCACCCCCCCCACCGGCCTGTAGGGCACTCACGGTGGGGTTCCACGGAGGCACGGCCCCGTCCATTCTGCACCCTGGAAACATGGTGTGCGCCAGGGCAGACACCACGCTGCTCCCCTCCAACCCAGGCACTCTCTGGAGGGGCTTTTCAACTCAAGCCTCTACTGGCTGCCCTGAGCATCAGGGTCCTGAGAGCTCAGGGGAGTCGCATCCCCATCCTCGGCCTTCCTGGCCCAGTACTCTTGCTCTGCTTAAGGTTGGGGCCCAGCTCTTTCCCAGGATGGGGTGGAGGAGGTTTTGCTCACAGGCAGGTTGGGGGCAGATTTGTCTCTGAGGAAGCAGACCCTTTGGCACTAGGTGCTGTGGTCTCCTGCTTTTGTGGTTTGGTAGCTTTGCTGTCCTCTGACTTGGGCAGACGCAGGGGGTCTGGTAGAGCCCCCGTCCCCTGGGTCACAGGGGACAAGAGGACAGGAAAGCCTGTGGGGGAGCAGCGGCGGGGCTCAGGCTCTCCTCTGTGTGCCCGCACTGCTGCAGCTCCCTGGGTCGCGTCGTGGCTCGATGGAGCACCCTTGGGATCGGCCCCTCTACGGTTGCTGCGGCTGTGTGCACAAGCCAGGCCCCGGTCAGGGCCGGGAGCTGCTGTGGCCCTGCACCGGGCCCTTCTAGGGCTGAGCAGGCCTGGGGGAAGGGGCCTGCGTGGCTTTGTCTTGGGCTAAGCCTCAGCAAATAGGAGCACCATTGAAGCCAGGGCCGAATTGTTTATTCAAGGTTGCTTGGGCACAGCTGCGGCTGAGTCACTTATGGGTGAGTTAAAAGGAGAGCAGGCCTTGTGCCTCGTGTGCTCAAGGCTGCGTGTGCCCGTCTGCGTTTCAGACTTACAACAAGAAGGGGGCCTCCCGATGGAAAGACCACGCAAAGGACCACCAGAATGGCTCCGTGGCCGCCGTGAATGGGCACACTAATGGCTTCTCCCTGGAGAGCAGCGTGAAGCCCAGGAAGCAGCGCAAGGACTGAGCGTGCTCCGCACACCCTGTGATTGTAAGCACAGCCGTTGTGCTCCTCGCTGTTAGCAGCTGCTGTTCTAGTCGGCCTGCAATAGTGTGATTCGTGTAGGGCCTCCTCCATCCGTTCAAACCCCTCGAGTACGCACGCCCGTTGTTATCCACGTAGGCTAAGGTCTCTCACGTTTCTGGGCTCATTGACCCCGCGCTAGACTGTGGAAAGGGAGTATTGTAGTATATGACACTGCTGTTGCCTTATTAGTTATAACATGATAGGTGCTGAATTGTGATTCACAATTTTAAAACACTGTAATCCAAACTTTTTTTTTTAATTATAGATCATGCATGTGATTGTAAATGTAAATTTGTACGATGTTGTTACAGTAGAGAAACACACATGCCTTAAAATTTACAAAGCAGGGCCCAAAGCTTATTAGTTTAAATTAGACTATGTTTCAAGTTTGTGTTCATTTGTAATAGCTCTGTTTAGAAAAATCACAGATGGAGATTTATGAAATGAGCGTGACGCGTAAGTCCAAGTGACATGCAGATGTGAAACCAGAAACGGCACCTTCAGCTTTCGGCCAAGCAGGCTCACCTAGTGGGGCAGTCAGTGCAACTTGTTCACAGACCGTATTTTTTTAT